GTAGGTAGATAGATAGATAGATAGATAGATAGATAGATAGATAGATAGATAGATAGATAGATAGATAGATAGATAGATAGATAGATAGATAGATAGATAGATAGATAGATAGAAGTTATAGATCGTTGCATTCTTTGTAAGTGGGCAAACCTGCAAAATCAGCAAGGGCTCAAATACTTATTTCCCCCACTGTAGATAATGTAATAAGAGTTGCTTGTTCCATGTTCAATGTTAAAGCAAAATTCGTTTTTTTCCCACATTAAAAGGTTCATGTCTTCAATCTTGGCCCGCGGCTTTGATCAGGTTTTACATTTTGGCCGCCTGTGTTTTGGAGTTTGACCCCCGCTGGAATTAGTTTATTATATATATATATATGACTCACCTGATAGCGGGCGCTCGCTCTCGGGGAGGCTGAACACCTCGTGGAAGGCGCCCCTCTTGGTGCTGTAGAACCGGCCGCCGTCTTCGTCCCGACTGAGCAGCGGAGCGGCGGCCGCCACGCTGCCCCGCCCCCCCGCCGCCGTCACCTGGGGGGGGGGTAATTACTCACCTCACAGTGTGTTATAGTATATATATATATATAAAGAATTTCCTTCTTTAAATAATAATAATAATAATTTCCTTCTGGGATTATCAAAGTATTTCTGATTCTGATCTGTTTCCCTCTTTCCCTTCACGGGGGGGGGGGGGGGGGTATAATTACTCACCTCAGCACAGTCTGTTATAATATATATATATATATATATATATAACTCAACCCATGTGAAGGACTGACTGTCTTAGTCCTTTCTGGATTTGCATGATATACAGTGGGGGAAATAAGTATCTGACCCCTTGCTGATTTTGCAGGTTTGCCCACTTACAAAGAATGCAACGATCTATAACTTTAATCATATGTACATTCTAACAGTGAGAGACAGAATCCCAAAGAAAATTCCATAAAATTACATCATATGAATTTATAAAAATTGATGACCATCTGATGAGGAAAAATAAGCATTCTTTGTAAGTGGGCAAATCTGCAAAATCAGCAAGGGCTCAAATACTTATTTCTCCCAGTGTAAATATAATTATATACATATATAAATAAATGAATAATTTCCCTCTGGGATTATTAAAGTATTTCTGATTTTGATTCTGATTCCCTTTATAATTCTACTTTTGGGTTAAACTCTTCCTTGCTGGAAATACTGGGACATCATTGATTCCCAGTCTCTGTAACTCTGTAACTTGTCAGGTTTTTATTTATTTATTTAATTTTATTTATTTATTTAATTAATTTAATATATTTATTTAATGTATTTATTTAATTTATTTTATGTATTTATTTTATGTATTTATTTTTTTGTGCGTGTTATTATTGTCACTTTATGATTGTTTATGTTGGGATTGCTGTTTGGGGATTTGTTCACTGTTTTATAAGTGCAAAACCCAATAAAAATATTTGAATAATAGATTTATATTATATTCCCTTTTGGGTTAAACTCTCTGAGTCCTCCTTTCTCTGTTACAGTAGATACTCGATATTTACAATTCCCTGCTGGACATACTGGGACATCATTGATTCACAGTCTCTGTAACTCTGTAACTTGTCAGGTTTTTATTTATTTATTTATTTATTTATTTATTTATTTATTTATTGTGCGTATTTTATTCATTTATTTATTTATTTTTTGTGCGTGTTATTATTGTCGCGTTATAATTGTTTATGTTGGGGTTGCTGTTTGGGGACTTGTTCATTGTTTTATAAGTGCAAAACCCAATAAAAAGATTTAAATTATTCCCTTTATAATTCTACTTTTGGGTTAAACTCTCTGACTCCTCTCTCTGTTACAGTAGGTACTAGATATTTACAATTCCCTGCTGAGCATACTGGGACATCATTGATTCACAGTCTCTGTAACTCTGTAACTTGTCAGGTTTTTATTTTTTTATTTAATTTTATTTATTCATTTAATTTATTTAATGTATTTATTTAATTTATTTAATGTATTTATTTAATTTATTTGTTTAATTCATTTATTCATTTTGTGCGTGTTATTATTGTCGCGTTAAAATTGTTTATGTCGGGGTTGCTGTTTGGGGACTTGTTCATTGTAAAAATATTTGAATAATAGATTGATATTATTCTCTTTATAATTCTACTTTTGGGTTAAACTCTCCTCCTCCTTTTCCTCTCTCTGTTACAGTAGATTTCCCGATATATGCAGATATCTGAAGGTGTAATGGACATTTTGTGGATAAAACAATAGAACTGTGATGAGATCTAACCTGTTTTTGACACATAGGTGACTCAGGAGAAAGAACTACTGGATTATTGGAAGATAAATGGGGGCAGGATGGAGATAAATACACTTTACTTTCAGGTGGAGGAGTCTTTCTAAAACTAAATCAAATCTATATCAGGGGGGTCAAACTCTGGTTTCATGGTTTAGTCTTCATAGCCACCTAGTGGATTTAATTTCTTTTGTAATGTTTATCAGCTTTATTATGATAGTTATTATCATTTTGTCTAAATGTTCATATTTTATTTTCCTCCGATTAGCGGAGGGCTCTTTCGTTTGTAACTTTATTTTTCGTTTTTCCTCCGTTAAAGGAGTTATTTTAATTTCAGTAAAGTTTCATAGTTTAGATCTCTGGCCTTTTGGAGTGGTTAATTTATTAATTTATTTATTGTAAATAATTCCGTAGCCTTATGAGTGCTGTTTGCATTGTTAACTTTTAATAGCTTGTTGATTTGCTCTGATCTATAAAGACAAAGTCATTCCTGCATCTACAGATTGCTCCAACATATAACCTCATTCTTTCTTTAATTTAATGGTAAAAACTTTTTTCAAAATCCTATTGAACACAATCAGATACACCTGATAACAGGGGGGCAGAAGACTACACAAAAAATAATCTGGACTTATCGCATAGTAATAAATGATTAATACTAAAAATGTATGTCTGTTTTTTCTTTTTACATATTTTGTTAAAAGGCCAAATAAAGACTTAAAACAGAAAAAAAGTAATTTTCTGTTTAGTTTTATTCTTCAATCAGGCTTTAAAGGGTTAACATTTATTTCATAAATGAATGCCATTGATGTGTTTTTTTATTTGAAATGTGATTTAGCATGTCTCCACTATTAAGTTATATATAATGTAATAAGAGTTGCTTGTTTCATATTCAATGTTTTTTTGTTTTTTTTTACTTTATTGCCTTAAATGCGGGTTATCAAGCATTTAGCATCAAAAAGGCAAACATAAAAGATAAATAAACACAAGAAAATAAATAAATAATTTTTAAAAAAATCAAATAAAAATATATAATATAATAAAAATAATTGGCTCTAGTCTGTCACACTGTAGAGCAGGGGTCACCAATCTTTTTTAAACGGAGGGCTACTTCATGGGTATTGAGTCACACGAAGGGCTACCAGTTTGATACACTCTTCTGAAATAATACATTTCCTCAATATGCTTTTAGCTATACTTTATTAATAATCATTAATGATACTCATTTGTGACAACAGTGACAACAAAATGGGAAACATATCAATATCCACCACTTTATCTCTGTTTATCTCAGCAACTGTTAACTTTTTAAATGATCACTTACTGTACATCACTACATTTACATAGGAGTTTTGAATTTCACTCATTTTCACTAGCCACTGACAAAACCTTTTAACAAATCATGAACTATGTTGCACCATGTTTCAAAAAGTTATCAATTATCTAATGTTAAAGAAAAATCAACTCGCATATTAAAAAGAAATCTGAAATCTCATGACCAAATCTTTAACAGATTGGCATTGCATGCTGTTCAGCAGTGCATTGTAATCTGGTGTAACTTGACACCGCAACTGTGAGTGCGTATTTCAGATGTGCTTTTTCTGCCCATAGTGCGCTTCCCGGTGGCTAGTTAGTTAGCATGCTAGCTTTTGTGGTGAAGTGAAGTGTCTCTCCACATTGTGCCGCTTTGCCGTGGCCACAGTTGCCCCGAAAATCAGACACACGCAGGTTTCTTTTACAGTCGTAAAAACGAACTCCTCCTCCCATTCGTTATGAAAGTGATAAGTTTTCTTTCGTTTTTCTGCCATGTTTTTGCACCCATCTCGGCTGCGCCCGCTAGCTTACTCTCCACTGACTCTGGTTTTGTTTTGTCACGTGCACAATACTGACCTTTGAACTAGAGAAAACTTAAACTTAATATATAATGAACATATTTTTAAGATATTGTCATTTTAAATCAAATCTATATGAATGCAAGTGTGATTAAAAAAGAATAGCAACGGAACAAAATTAAATTTTAGACGCTGCTCACTATTGAGTTGTGCTATTTTTAGAACAGGCTCGCGGGCGCCTCGGGTGGTCCGTGCGGGCGACCTGGTGCCCGCGGGCACCGTGTTGGTGACCCCTGCTGTAGAGGGTACAGCACATATTCCATATTCAATGTTAAAGCAAAATTCGGAAAATGAAAAGAAGGCTGTTTTAAAATCTTATCTCATAAATTAATGCCATTGATGTGTTTTTTTATTTGAAATTTGATTTTGCATGTCTCCACTATTAAGTTATATATAACGTAATAAGAGTTGCTTGTTCCATATTCAATGTTAAAGCTAAATTAGTTTGGTTTCTATATTAAAAGGTTCATTTGCAGCTTTGTTCAGGTTTTATTTTTTGGTCCCCTGTGTTTTGGAGTTTGACCCCCCTGGTCTATCTCCTGGTTTATTACTTGACAGACTCTACATCTCCAGCTATGGGAAGCCTAGCTAGCCTAGTTAGCCTAGCTATCCTAGCTAGCTGCTAGCTAGCGTAGCGACACACACACGGACAGACTCACAACAGTCCTACCTGCTCACACTCAGACAGCTGAGAGAGAGAAACACAACAACTGAGACGAGAAACAGAGTTCTGGCTTCCCAGAACCAGCAGCAAAACCTGGGAGCTGTAATGGGAGATTTCCCATGATGCACCTCTCCTCCCTCCCATTAATGATGTCACTGACTGGACTCTCTCTCTTCCCCGAAATCCTGTGTCTCGTCCCTCTCCTCC